ATGAAAACATATAAGCTCTGTAAATTGAACTTTGCATGTAATAATGTAGACAAAATACACTCTGATGTCTAACACACAATCAGATGTGTGTAATTAATATCAAATTAAATAGATATGTTCACTTACAGTAAATCCAACTCTAGCAGGAGGCAATGTTTTAGGACCCTATTTGTGAATCTATCTCTTTTGTGCTTGTGAAAGTGTACTGTAAGTGTATTTATTTATTTGAATGAGTCTTTATGTTATGGTTTTCTTTGTTTTTATATAAAATGGCGATTGCATTGGGTATGAAATTTACACTTGATATTCTAGTCTTTAAATCTATGTGCTCTATGCTACTATTAAAAGTAAGAAAATGTTTGGGTAACTTGTAGTGTGTAGTGTATGAGCTTCTCTGCTTTTAATATTTCATAGACTTTTCCAAAGATTGAGAGTAGTAAAGTTTACCAATTGATGTAACATTCATTGGTTTGATCCATTGGTGCAACGTTCATTTTTACGGTCTTTTTTCCTTACTTTGTTATCTTCTAGTTGTGGATATATATCGGCGCATCAATTATCTAGGTGTATTGGTTCATGTCTTCCTGGTAAAGAAATTGGTGTCATAGTGAATTAGTGATTGCATTACAATTACAGGTGCATAATTGAAAACGAAGTGCTTGAAGATGTAAGCCTGTGAACATTGACGAGGAAAATGAAGATAGAGGGACTTGATGAATTGTGTGGGAAGTGCTGCTTATAAGGAAGAAATGAGAAGAATCTAAGCCACATGATGTAATGGATAAATGTAATAAACTGAAATAATAGATTGAATTGTGTATCATTTTGATAGTTGTATATGTTGTTTTTTGTTTCTTTTTGTTTATCAAACAGGCTTTTTGTTTCTTTTTGTTGTATAACACATGCTGTTTTTTGTTTCATCTTGTTGTTTTTTGTTGCATTGTATATGTTGTTTTTTGTTGCATCATATTGCTTTTTGTTGCACGGTGTTGTTTTTTGTTGCATTATGTTGCTTATTGTTGTTTATTACAGGTGAATTTGATTTTTGTTGTTTATTTTTATCTATGCTTATCTTTAATACATTTTTGCAGTATAAAAATCATATAAAAATTATATTAAATAACCTAAAATGATAATTTTGGACTTATGATTGTAAACCAATCACAAGAAACATAAAGAAACAATAAGAATAAAAACATTAGAGTTATCAACAAAAGGAAACAAAACAATAGGCAACAAAAACAAACAACAAAATTATATACTCGGTAATAAGTATTTTTAAATTTGTAACAATTCTAAAAAATGAATTACAAGACTCGTATTTTTATACTTGTTCAATGTAATTTTTTTTTTCATTTTTTTAGTTTTTTTAATTTTTCATGCGTTTTAGTTTAATCAAATTTTCTGCTTTTTAATTTTTTTAAGATTTTTTTGTACTTCTATTTTATTTTACAGCATTTATTTTTATTTCAACCTTTCTAAAGTCATATATTTAATTACTTAATTTGAAATTATTTTGATTATATGTATTTCGGTTTCTAAAAGAATAACTGTTTCATAAAATTACTTAACTTTATATTTAATTATTTAATTTCATTTCATAATTGTTAATATTTTCATAAACATTTTTTAACATTTTTATTATTTTCTAAGATTCTAAATGTTTTAGAGTTTAATATTAATTCTCATTTATTTGGGATTTTTTTATTTTTATTATATATATATTTTTTCATTTTTATTAAAATTGAAATTATTTTTATTCTTCATAGTTTTATATTTACTTTTTATAAAAGTTAAGGGGCATACGAAGTCTTCTAAAAAATTAACATTACAAAAGAAATGTTATTTTTCTACGAATTATCCACTTTATAAACTAGTTTTAACCTTTTTCATTTTTAGTTTTGAGTTTTGTATTTCCAAATTTTCTATACATTTCTTAACATTTTGTGATTTATTAATTTGTTAATTTTTTAATTTTTTAATATTATCTTATTGTAACTATTTCTTTTGGTTTCTTACTTTTTTTTTTACATATTACTAAATATTTACGTTTTTCTATTTAAAAACGTTATGTACGAGTACAAATTTGACAAAGAAGGTGTATAAACGTTATTGGCTGCTGCACGCGTGCATGCTTATTTGGAGCTTAGGTTCTGTTACGTAACGTACTTACCTTGGTTCTACGGACCTTGGTTTATTTTTGAAAAGAAAGTACCGATTAGTCTATTTTTGAAATAAACCCCGAAAGGTGAAAAAAGTGATAATACTTTCATTTTTTGTCCACTTGTGAAAAATTCCCTTTTTTATTTTAGTTATTTAAGTCAAATACGTAAATCTAGATGATATATATGGATCCTAAGTCCTAGAGCCCGTGTAGCCGTCACCACCTAAGTGACCCATCTCACTTTTGTATATTTTTTGTCTAATTTGCAAAGTGATTGATAAAAGTTGAATATATATAGTAAAATATCAAAATAATTTACATTGATCGGAGAATATGAACGAGGACATTTACCTCATATTGGAGGTAATATACATGTAATGATGTAATACATAGTAAGGCTTTGTTTTCAAACACAACTGGGAAGTGCTTTTAACTTTTTAAAGTGATTTGGGAAAAAACTGATTAATAGTAAAAGCTGTTAGTGTTTGAGAAAAAAGTGATTTTTAAAAGTAAAAGTTGGTAGTGTTTAGTAAAATAAGTGCTTTTGGTGTACTGTAATAGAAAAAGTAAAAAGCAGATTCTAGCTTTTAACTTTTAAGTGATTAATTTAAGTAGGCGTTGTCATTTGAAAACATCTTTTTTAACTTTTTAAGCCAAAAGCTGGGAAATGCTTTTTTTTCAGTGTTTGCAAACAAAACCTAATAAACTGTGAGATAGAGATGTGTCTTTAATTAGGCGGTTTGACGTTTACTTTATTATACTACATAATAAAATGTTTATGTTTTACTCCGTACTATTTATTTTTAATGGCTTATAAGGGCCCTTCTATAAAGTTTGACTCAGACCAAAAAAATGCGTAGTGGGTGCAAACGCGTAATCTTGCAATCCATTTTCATTTGTACCAAATATTAATATTAATAATAAATACTATCCTCCGTTTTTATCGCAACATGTCTTTTTGCGCTGTTCACATGATCTACTTTGACTACATTTTACACTATTATTTTATGGAAATTACTTTTTAAAAAAAACATTTTTAAATTCATCTCATTACAAATTTTCAAAATTTGATTTTTAATATTTTTTTATTAATAGAGATTAAGATATATTTACGATCAAATGTATGCATTGACAAATGTGCAAAAGTTGACTGTTGCAATTAAAAAAATGGAGAAAATATATATTTTTTAGGGCCCCTAGAAATATGATCGAGGCCTTGGACCTTTGCCTAGGTTAACTGGCCATTTGACCGGCTCTAGTGACTATTCATGAAATAACAAAAGTATAAGAACTGAGATAATATATTTCTTTTAATGATGGCTTAAATTAAATATATTACACTAAAGTGATACGTAACGGTTATGCCTCTCTGCGCATTTAAATAAAGAGATAATGGTAAAGAATATTGTCTTTTATTATCTTTAATTATTTATTATTGTAACTAATTCATTTTAGTTCCGGCAATAATGAAGGAATAATTATCAATTATTAACGCTTACCGTTAAGAATTATCTCATAAGTTACATAGTATAGAAAGGTTAGCCAATCAATAGAGTTAAATTCCAGCTGGGTTCAATCAAACTGCTAAGCACATGTAGTTTAATTCATATAATTCTAATTTCATGAATGTATATGGAGTTTAGGTTAAGATTCGGGGTTCTATCTTAAAAGGTTAACCTAATAAGAGGAGTAGCCCACATCTTAATATAGCGATTCAAATTTTTCCGGTGTGGGATTCTAACACCCCTTCTCACGACCAGACACTTCGTCTGGATCGTGTCGTCATTTATTGTTTTTCATCGGTTCGTCATTGTCGTTTTTTTCGTCATTTTTCATAAGGGGCCCACACCCTGGATCAATTTGGCTCTGATACCATGTTAAGACCCGAGGTTCCATCCTAAAAGGTCAACCTAATAGGAGGAGTAGCCCACATCTTAATATAACACTTTGTTGATTCAAATTTTTCCAGTGTGGGATTCTAAGAGCATCTCCAATGGTAAAATGTGCACGGTGCACACGTGGCATGAGAAATAGCCACATAAATATTAGTAAATAAATTCTTTCTCTCCTTATTTGAATGATTTTATACAGTTTTAGTAAGTTTTTCTCTACACTGTCAAGGAGACCGTCTAGATGTTGACATTGTTGACATTGCAGGGAAAAACTTACCAAAATTGTATAAAATTATTCAAATAAGGATAGAAATAATTTATTTGCTAATATTTATGTGGCTATCACTCATGCCACATATGCAACGTGGACATTATAGCATTGGAGATGCTCTAACAGTTTAGTTATTCAAAATGGATTTATAAGTGTGCCAAGTCAACGCCACCAGATACTTATTGTTTCACTATTAGTTTAGTTGCACCAGATGATACATTTGTTTGATCGATATAATTAATCCTATTTTCAGGAAAAAAGAAGAAGTATGAAACATGAATTTTTCTTTATAAATGAGGCTCGAATTATGATCTCCGCGGCCGGTTGTGAACTTTATTCTAATTCGGACTTCATGTTTGAACCAAACTCAACGACCTTTATTTGGTGGGGCATAATTGCTAAAACCAGATAAGATCATTCAATATGATGAATCCTGCCATAACATATATGTTTAGTTATATTTCCTTTCATTATTAAATTAATTAATCATGTTATTCGACGTGCACTTAGAGTTGAGACGGTTGGATTGTCGACATTAAAATGGTGACCACTGAATGATTTGATTAAATAAGCTCAACTAATTCAATTATTTAAAACCTGAAGTACACTCGTTATATTGCTAACTGTAAAAGTTTGTATATAAAAAATTGTTCGTAGTTAAAACAAGAATATCATTTTCCCTCAAAAAAAGAAAAGTATAAAAGAATTGAAGTAGAATTTAAGAAGGGATTATGGGTGGTATACTGCAACATTTAACAAAAGCAAATGATTTATAAAGAGCTTAGTTGGTCGCCAGATGCACACTACTCTACAAAATTTGATCATAAGAGCACATCACAAGTAATCCACCCACAATTGCAAGGGCAGGCTGATTTTTGTGTATCTGGCGAAAAATTGGTCGCCAAATTTGCTTCTCCAATAATGCAACGAGCTAAGTGTAAAGTGTCTAAGTGATCATCATTTATTCTCTCTTCTTTTGTGATTTTTGTGTTCTAACTAGTCTAGTTTGAATTGGTTTTATGTGGTTCGATCTTTGTTGTCATAGACTCATAGGTTAGGTACTATGAAACACGGAAACTCTCCGAGTAGTTGTAGACCCAGAAACTAAATATTGAGGGATCGTTTCCAAAAGTGTACAGTACAATACAATAAGCTAATATATTACTCCCTCCGTCCCTAAGTAATTGTCTGGTTTGCTTTATCATAAGTTTTAGCAAAGTGATTAAAAAGGTAAAGTTATGCTTATGATTTGAGTATGATAAAAGTAGTGATGGACCGGTTCCGGGCCGACCGGCCCGTGGCCCGGCCCGGCCCGGCACTGTTGGGAACCGGCCCGGCCCGGTGACCGGTCCGGGTAGGCCCGGCCCTGGGTTACACAGGGCGGGCTCGGGTCACCCAAAATAGGAACCGGCCCGGCCGGGCCCGGTTCGGGCCTATTTTTTTTCTTCATTTTTTTTTGTTTTTTCCCGGGTTGGGCTGGGTGTTTTTTGGGGGTGGGGTGGGGTGGGGGGGTCGGGGGATAAGATGAAAAGCAAAAAAAAATTGAAGAAGCCCGGGAATCGGGCCGGGCCGGGCCGGACCCGGACCCGGTGGAAACCCGGGTTGGTTCCGGGCCCGAAGCCAAACCCAAAAAGCCCGCCCCGGCCCGGGACCAGTCCATGCCTAGATAAAAGTGTGTTGATCGATATGAGGTACATATTAGAGTCAAAAGAGGAAATAAGACAACTATTCTGGTACATCATGAAAAGGAAAATAAAACGATTATTATTTTAGGATGAAGGGAGTAATTTTTATAGAGTATATATACACATACACCCTCTATCCTTTAAAACTTTGTCATCTTTGAATATATATTTTGGTCAACCAAGTTCAACGTTGACCAATTATATATTATTACCGGAAGTTATTTACTACATCCATTCAAAAAAAACTTTTCCATTTCATAACACTTGGATCATGATTTGGATTAGTATAATATTATGGAATTTATAAATTTTATACTTTTATGAAAGTACTTTTAACAAAGAATATTTTCATATAATTAAATTTTATATTATAAATAATTTTCAATAAAAATATATGGTTAGTCAAAGTTTTAAAAATTGCAAAGTTTTTTGGGACAGAGGTAGTATAATATAAACATGATATGAAAATATTCTTTGTCAAAAGTACTTTCATTAAAGTATGAAATTTATAACTTTCCAAATATTATACCAATAAACCAAATCATGGTCTAAACTTTACCACAATTGACTTGAAAACTCAAAAATGACAAAGTTTTAATGGACGGAGGTAGTATAATACATAAACACATTATATATAATTATATAAGAGTATCTGTGATGGAAAATAATGTCTTTAATTAAAAACTTAATAAATTTTTGTGATATTTCTTTGTAGCAACATTATGACATTTCATAACACAATGCATTGCTAGAAATGTATTGCATTTTATATTTAAATATTTAATTATGTACAAATATGTAATGATTTCTAAATTTGAACATGTAGATTTTTTATTGTGTTATTAGACAAGTTATATGAAGAAGAATGCCTTGACGCATTGATTATGGTGTTGCTGTGTGACTAAAAGGTCACGAGTTCAAGCCTTGGGAATTGAGTGGGGAAGGCTTGTGCTTTAATCAACCTTTGTACGTGGTGGGACCCTTCACGGACCTTCACCTTGTGGGGATGTGAATGTGCACCGGGCTTCCCATGTTATTTACACAAGTTATAAGAAGAAATCATTTTCATATATTTAAATGTAAAAAACTGTATAAGCACATGGAAGTATATCTATAAGTATATCCATACATTATTTTTAATATCAATGTGTTTTTCCCAAGTTTTGTATCGCATATTTTTTAGAAATTATTTTTCTCATATTTCTCCATTTCTCGTTTCTGTGCTATTTAATTCAAATATAATATTATCATCATTCTTCTTTAAGTTAGTGCACCATTGTCTTAAACCTTACACTCCTAAAGTTGGACATTATTCATTTATTTTTATATGTGAATCTCATATTGGCCACTAAGGTTTCATAATCCGTCATTTTTGGACATCCACTTATGATTACCTTCTTTCATTAATAAAAATTGTTAGTCGCATATTTCTTTCCCTTTTTTTAGTGTCAATAAACTAACTTAATTGATGTCTATAATTTTGGAATATTTAATTCTTATGATTAAAACACAACCTTACACACAACAGTACATATCTAAGTTGCTCTTGTTAACACATTTTTTTTTGTTTTTCAACCTTATTAACCAACTTTTTATCAACAGTTCAACACACAACTTTTGGTTTCGTATGCTGGATTGTGTGATAATCAAAATAGGTAAGTTGGAGTTAGTTTTCCTACTGAAATGACTGAAATTATTAAAAAGTTTGGTTTTAACTATTTGTCGTATATTGATTTCGTAATTTTGTTCATTAAATACATTTTAAATACTCCGTATGTTTCTACATAATACATCATGTTCGGGCCAAATAATTGTTTTATACAAAAGGAAATTGCCAAATAATACATGAATATAAATAGGGACGGGCATAAAAAACGAACCGAATATCAGGTGTTTAAACGGTTCTAAATATTTTATCCCAAACCGAAATCATACTATTTGAAACGGGTACCGAACCGATTTTAGATTTTGAAAACCGATAAATACCGAACCGGGCGTTTAATAATAATACATTTGAGTTTTTATATTTTGTCATTTCAATGAATCCATACCTTACATATTAAAAGAATAGTGAAGTTTAAAATGACTATTAACGCCCAGTATTTTAGTGTATATGACTATTGGTTGTATCATATTTGTAATTTGTATTGTTTTGCAAATTGAGTAATACTTCATTGATTCTTTAATAGTTGCAACATTGAATTTTTTACACTATTCACACACCTTACTTTGATCACGATTTTCTATTAATATATATAATCAAATTACTCCCTCTGTCCCTGAAAGAAGTTCCATTTTACTATTCATTGGTCAACTTAAATCACTCTTAATCTCTTACTTTTTATATCAAAATTTTATAAAAGTTGAATTATTTTTTGCAGGCTTTGTAGCGGGTTTAATGTAGTTTCTGAATATGTAAATTTTATTTACTAAAAATAATCCGAGTTTTCACCGGGATCATTTAACTTTATCGTCGGTCAACCTCGTAATCCGCAAATGGAACAACAATAAGGGACGGAGGGAGTATTATGTATAAAATGTTACTCCGTATTAAATTTATACTACTGTGAGTTTTCAAAATATTAACTTGTTATGACGTATTCTAATACATACTCCCTCCGTCCCGCTATGATTGTCCCATTTTACCATTTCTGTCCGCCCCACTAAGATTGTTCCATACCTTATTTGGTAAAGTTTGTGTGGTTCTAAATCATTCATACTTTATTCTTACTTTATCAAGTCAATATCAACCACATAAACCCACTTTTAATCACTAGTACAAAAAAGGGTTTTAACATCAGCTAAAAGTGACTTTCTACATCGGTTGTGGAACCGATGTGGAAACAGACCATGTGAAAACTCGGGTGCATCTAGATCGGTTTGTGAACCGATGTAAAAACAGATTCCACATCGGTCATCTAAGAAACCGACGTTAAAACTAAGGGAAATGTCGTATCACGCTGCATTCTACATTGGCTAAACCCGATGTTATATGTTTCTATATCGGTGGTATAATAACCGACTTGAAAAGAGTTCCAAATTAGATCAGTTTTAACCGATGCTTGTAAACCAGTGGTATAGACACCAATGACAAATTTTGAATTTTTTTTATAAAACCTATACCCGTTCTTACAATTATCATCATTCACACAATCACACATTCCATAATGATGATAACAAACATATCACATCTGAAAATACAAATTAACATTGCACTTTAACAAATTTTTAAAGATCGAATCTTTCAAAGAAAGGCTCAACTTCCAATATTTAGTCAAAGCCATCATTCAATATTGTTGACTAATATTCCAAATGCGTTAGGCAGTAGAAGTATTTTACATCAAAGACCAAATCTATCAGCAACAACATCATCATTTAAAAAAGTTCCCTTCATCAAGCATCTTTGATATGATTTGCTATTTCAAGAAAAAATGATGCCCAATGAGTCCACACTTCATCTTTCTCTTGGAGAGATGTCTGCAATTCAAAGTATGAAAAAAGTATTAAATGAACAAATAAAGTGAAATAGATGTATAAATTAAATACACCATCTTAGTATACCTTGTCATTAAGTTCAAGAATAACCTCCAAAATAATGTTGAACATATACAAACATGTTCATAATATTTGGGAAAAGAAAGTCAAGAGATCCGTAATACAATTGGCTTCAAGAAGCAAGAGTTAAAGAAGGTATACTACTTCACTTACATTCTTCACAAAATACTTCTTGGAATCAGACACAATTCCTTTATGTATCAAGTGGCTTTTGTGAACATGCTTGTATAGCTCAGTTAACATATTCATAGACTTAAGCAACATCAAATTCCGATTCAGCAATAAGGCACGCCTGCAAAAAAAGAAAAAAATTGAAGGGGGGAAATGTCAGGATAAAAAACTTCCTAAGAATGCATTACAGTTTATATGAAGAACCATTGCACAGTGCAGGCATCCCACTAGAACCAAATCCATGTCAAAGTTGATCTCATTAACAAGATGGTGCTTTGCTAGGTCATATATTAACATCTGCAATTTAGATGAATAATTTGCCAATGTATAATCATAATCAAATCTATACACTTCGATAATATCTAGTTGCAAGTTCTTATTCATGTATCTTCCTATAATAATTGCATAAAGACAGAGATTATGAGTGTAATCTTCAACTACAACAGAAAACATGGGATAAAAACTAAAATAAGAAAAAAAAAGACCTTTGGGTTTCATTTTAAACATATTGTTTAAAGCATCTGGTATATTCAGGAATCTCTGTTTTGCAGCATTGAATTGTTCCCGAACCTCAGCAATTTCACACGCAGACGTTAGGTCATTTTCATTGGCCAACATATTTTCTATCCCTTCTCGTTTCATCAGTCTCTCCTTGGAAGATGTAGTAGTGCTATATTTCCAAGCATTGCTACCTAAAAGAAATCAAGACAATGTACATATTTTCACACTTTACATTACTATACAGGAAAAAACGAGCAATGTTCTGCTTATTAATAAGCATACCTTCTTAAAAACCAGCACGATGAATGCTTGTTCGCCGCTGATGTTGCTCATTCGCAGATTTTAAACCCACTTACTGTACTAGTCGGCGGTGGTTGGATTTCTGACCAAACTACTGGCCAACCATGGGACAACAGTCGCAGAGGTTTTTGGATAATCGTGGGACGGCGATGGTCGGGTTTCTAAGCAAATACAAGCAAAACAAAAAGGAATGCATCTGTTATTATGAATTGTTTAGTTAACTTATTAGTTCATGCTTAATAAATATGTTGTAGCTCAAAATTGTACGAAATATAAAACTAAAAGCTGCACTTGTTTAGTTAACTGATTAGTTCATGTTTAATATATGAAAAGGACAAAATCAGATTAACATTATTATTATTGATGACATAATACTTCAAAAAATTGAAAAGAAATGATATGGCCAATAAGGTTTTGATTGAACTAGCTAATTGGTTAAAGTAATCAAACTGTAATTCAGTAACAAGCACTAATCCTGCACAGAACAAAAAAATCACATTTTCTCCCACTTTTTAGCTAGCTCTCTAAATTACAGTAATTTCTTGATACAGGTAAATTATCCCCGCACTAAAGGAAGTAGATTCTCCTTCTTAAAGCTTCTAAACACCCAAAGATTCTAAGTAGATTCTAACCATTTCAACTTGTATATTCGGATTGCACAAAGCCAGAGAGTAAGCACACACATATAATACAGTTTTCATCTTCTTCCATTTGTAAACAAGCTGTGACAAAAAAACATTACATTCTCAACAAAAAAGACCATTATATTGCTGGAACTGGGATTGAGATATGTGCTCACCCACACAGAACAAAGGGCTAGGAAAATTGACTAAGAAAGATTGTTGTGTAGTATAATGTTTTAAATTTGTAAACTTACCAGAATTAAGGTGACTAGCTCAAACTGTTCTAGCAGGAAATCCTTGGCGGCGTCCGACCTGCACTGGGCGCTGGAGCTGCGGCAACCTTAGGCCATAGTCGCGGCTGGTCTCTAAGTCTCTTCTCCAACTGGTGCGTCGCCGGTTCCGTCTGCGATTGGCGGGTCTGGCTGTGGTCGCCAGGTGCGATGCGGTCGCCGGGTCCGTCGCTGGTCGTTGGCCGTCGAAGGTTGCTTGTCGATGGTCGCTGCGTTGCCGTCCGCGTCGCTGCTCTACTGGTGAATTATTTTGGCTAGGTTTGAGCCTTTGAGGGTTTGAGGAGGCGTATGTCGCTGGATTAAGGTTATACTTCGTACATAATATTTATTTTTTTCGCTGCTTTTTTAAATCGGTGTTAACCGATGTCAATATAAGTTTTCTTATTTAAAAATTTGACCCCGTTTTCTTTATGACATCGGTTGCACACACGACCGATGTAACATATTTAATGAAATTTTAAAATATAACCCCCGTTTCACGTTTGAGATCGGATATATTAACGACTCATGTGACTTTTTTTTTTAAAATTGTAAAAATGACCCCGTGTCACTTTTTCACATGGGTTATTACCATAACACATGTAGATAAGGTGATGTAAAAAGTCTTTTTTGTACTAGTGAATAATAATCGTGTCACATTCTCTTGTCCCAAACTTAAGGGGACGGAGGTAGTAATTAACTATAATTACTGTCAAAGTTATGCATTAGCAAACGTGAAAGTCAAACGGTCGCAACAATTAAAGAACAAGGATACTGTTGAGGTTTGTTCCTTCAACCCTTGGACCCAACACGTAAGCCCAAAGATTTCGAGTGGAGTGAATGTATGAATATCTAGCCCAACAACTATCAGATGGATCAGGAAACAAAGGGAATAGCAGGCAATGTAAATAGGTATTATTAACTTCGTAATAACTCCCCTAAGTACAATCTACTTGCTAAAAAGGGCACGTCGGCCGTTCGTCTTACAAGGCAGTAGAGATGCTGCGAGTAA